CGGGAAGGGCAAGGTAAGGCAAAGTTAACGGGGTAGGATTGGCTAGTTTGAATAATTCTGGCAGGCTTTGGGGTTCAGGGGCTGTCCCTATTTGTCTGGTACCTGGCCTTGGGTTGAATTAGGGCAGTGAAAATAATGGCTTGGTATGTGAGAGTTAGATAAAGGCGGTGGATGGAGATATGGACATAGGATTCGTTGGCTTGTATGTGGAAGGCATGCTCACTGGGAGTTGTTTACTGCTGCTCCAGGAATTAGCTAGCTCTGGGATGGGCAGCCTCTCTCGAGTCAGCAAGGCCTCCAAAAGGTGTCAAAACATTATAAAATATGGACAATAATAAATATGACTAATACAACAAGATTTAGTTCTAGTCTTCAAAAATACCCAATATAATTGGGAGGAAACCATAACTTCTGATTTTCTGTCCCCATTACCAGTTAATAAATAGCAGAGAAGCAGAAGGCAGGCATAGTCCATTTTTCCCCTCATTCCATTAGGACAGTGGGTGATTTTTGTTAATGAGAAAACTTAAAATACAAGAGACTCCTACTTATCCATTGTCCACGGTTTTCTAAATATGAGCTAATGAATATTTTTAATTCTTTCAATTCCTTTCCTGCCTTTGCACATTGCATTTTTGTCAGCTGGTTCAGACCAGCTGCACAGAGAAGGTGCCAACAGTATAAGATAGATGCTTATCTGAATAGCTTAAACCAACATCAAAAGTGTAATTATATCTAAAACAAGAAGCAGTACAATTAATCAAAGTATGCACCTAAACTATCTTAGCGATAGCTTGCTTATGCCAGCAGCAAAGAAGCCTAGAGAGCAAGTAGCAATGAAATCATGAAAGGCATTTTCCATAGCTTGTTGAGAACTGAGTATTTTTCCTTGCGAGGAGTAGTCCAAAGCCTGGAAGAAGTGGTAGGCAGTTGGTGGAAGGTCTGGTGAATATAGTGGATGACAGAGTTTCCAAGTCTAGCTTCTGCAGTTTGAGCAGTGCTGTTTATGAGACATGTGGTCCAGCATTGTCTTGCAAGAGGATTGGCCTATCTTTATTGACTTATGTTGGCTGCTTAATCACAAGCATCCTTGTTATTTCATCTAATTGGTTGCTATAGACATCCACTGTAATCTACTGACCAGGTTTCAGGAAGCTGTAGTGGGTAATACCAGCACTGGACCACCAGACACCATTAGCTTTTTTGGATGAATATTTGGTTTTGAACTGTGTTTTGGCACTTCATCTTTATCCAACCATTGTGCCAAATGCTTGCAATTATCAAAAAGAATCCATTTTTCATCACATGTAACAATATGATGTAGAAATGGTTTGCTTTTATGTCTTGACAGCAATCAAAAGCAATCATTGAGACAGTTTCTCTTCTGATGCTTAATTCATGCAGAGCCCATCTATCCAGCTTATTTACCTTGCCTATTTGTTTCAAATGGTCCAATATTGTTGGAATAGTAACGTGAAACCTTGCTGCTAATTCACGCGTAGGCTGAGATGGATTCGCTTCCACTACAGCTTTCAGCTCATCATTTTCCACCTTGGTCTCAGGTCACCCATGTGGCTCATTTTTAAGATTAAAATTACCAGAATATAACTTCTCAAACCATCGACTTGCTGTACGTTCATTAGCCACAGCCTTCTGAAACATTTTGTTGATTATTAAAAAATAACACAATTTTTGACTTATTCATGATTTCATAAAAATTACTCTTAAAAAACTTTTAGTATTTAAGGAAATCAAACATTTCATACTTAATAACCTAATAGAATTACATATAATTATATACATAACATACAAAGTGTGCAGTAAAGTTTCCTTTCTACTGGTCTTTCTCCCACCATTTCCTTTCCTTATATACACTAATGTTTTTAGTTTCTGCCTTATTGTTCCAGTTATTTTATGGATATACAAGTAAATACACACATGTATTTATTTATATCTATATCTATTTCATAAATATATAGAGATACATTGCCAAAATAAATTAAAAAAGAAAAAAAATAGAGATATAGTATTTTCCCCATATCCCTTTGGTACAGCCACTTGTATATATTTAAAATAAAACAAAACAACAATTTTTTGGTAAACAAAATTTAATAAACCATATAGTCAAGTAATAATGGTTAAAAGACATTTTATTAGATACAACTTTAAAAAAAATTAAAATATGCAAGAAGTATATTTAAACAAAATATACTACATGTGCTACAACTGAATTGAGAACAATGAAATACAAGGCATTTTTTTTCCACTGTGAAGACTCTGGAGCCTGTAACTGAAAGCAAATGACTTTTGGCTGCCGCAGGTCTGTACTAGTTGAAAAGCAGATTATACTTTTGTTCAACTGTAAAGTTGTGTTGTCTTAGATATCTCTGGAAGCTCTCAACAGAATTTTAAATGAAGAAACTATGGGGAGGGTTGATGGGGATGAGAAGAGTAAGTGCTTTTTCAAGAAAGTCAAATGAAAAAGCCTATAGATGAAAAAAAATAGTATATAAGAATGGAACAAAAATAAGTAGATATACGTTTTTACATTAGCTGTAGATATTGCAAATGATGTTTACAAGGGTTTAATCAGTGTAAGATGTTCATCTGAATATCTTAAACAGCACCTAGGTATCAAAAAATAAAAAAAAATATAATAAAACTCCAAACACTCACCAACCTCCTTTAATATTCTCATTCTGCCAAGCAACCACACGGTTGGTGCTCTTTAAAAAATTTAAGAAGGGAAAGCTTATTTACTCTACAGGAAACAAACATGAACCTTATCTAAGGTAAACTTTAATATTTAAATTGGAAACGAGTTGAAATAGTACTAGAGAACTTAAGGCACATAAACAATTCAGGTGCAGTTATTTTAAAAACATTAAAACAAATTCTTTTCTTTGGAACAATATAGAAAATAAGTTATGACTGTTGCTGTTCTAAAAAAATTATTTATGATGATCACCTTTTAGCACTAGGTAAATTTAATATCTAAGGCCATCACACAAATGTAAAACATCCATATAAAACATTTAAAAATGTCTAAAGTATGTTGCAAACATGTCTGGAATTATCAATTCACACTCCTGGCTCAAGTGGTTTCTGGTGCCTAGCATTAGATGTGATAGTTAAGTATAGCTAGCTAGTCAAACCTACTGCCTTACAGGTCAACCAAACTGCCCCTTCTGGTTACTTGGTATGGTGAACTTATTTATTTAACTAAAAGAATAATGGAGTGAGGTGATGTAAACCTGGCTTTTAATATAATGCACAAAAAATTCTAATAAGGGCAAAACTATGTTGAGGTTAACTGGTGTCTTGAGTTCACTAAAACAAAGGCAGTCCATAGGAAGCCTTCAAGAGACATTGTCTTATCACTTGGCACCACATAAATAGCTCTTTCCTCTTTGAAAATAGTTTGAAGTAGATGTTGTCTTTTCCCCATATAAATCTCAAGACATAAAAGGCACACACAAATAATTCAACCCCTCTCTTTTCATGTATAGGTTCTCACAGCAATTTTTTAAAAAAAATCTATTGCCATATCTAGACAATAGAAAAAATAAAAACAAACAAACACATACCTGGTTTGCATACTGACAAAAGTGGTATAATTGAACCTTTGTCTTTCCTGAGTTTCAAAAAGGGTATTTGACAGTAGAGATACATAAATAATTCATATTCACTAAAAGAAAATGTATCAGTCCACAAAACATTTTCATCTTTCTAAATACAAAAGGATGAATGTTTAACCATCATCATGTGTGAAGCCCCTTTATACCAAATTAAATTTACTCTAGAACCATGAATTGAAGGTTATTTAGTTATGGCACTTTAAATATCCCAAACAGGCAAAATGACAAGTTACCCTCCCTGAGTAATTACATCATCTTTTCTGAACACCTGGTTTAAATGGAGTAAATACCTGTATTTCAGTCATCTAGGAAAAAAAAAAAATTACTGAAGATCCAATATGCTACCATTTCATACCTGTGCAGTAAAGTCAGCAGTAAGATTAAAGAAAAGGAGGAAGTTCTTCTGCTATAAAAATTAGATCACTTTGTAGCTCACTCACATAGAGGAAAACACCAAAAATGATTAAAGTTCATGAAACAAAAAACCCATAGAAAACAAAACCGATTGTACTTTTCTGTTATTCCACAAAGCATACCTTTGAATTCCCTGTCCGGCTGAGGTATCCTAACAGCTGGGTTTAGCAAACTCATTTCCTCTGACCTTGTAAAACCAAATGTGTTGTATAGATTCTGACTGTGTACAAGTCATCATTACTAATACTCATTATGCACTTTCAAATGTAATAAAGCTCTCAAAATGCCCAAATAAGAGTCTTCTGGAATTGAATTTAGTATGGTCAACTAATTTTTACTTTATGTGCTTTTTCTATGACCATCATAGCCTGCTAAAATTCTTGGTGTATGTATATACGTGTGTACAGAACCATACTGTCTACATATATACACATGCATATATACATACATTCTAACCCAAACGCTCATATGAGCATCACCTATCAAAAGAAAAATCTGTCAACTATGTGATAACTGAGCGAACATGGTCTGACACCAATTTGGTTAATATATCCCCTTTGATATACTAATTATACTCTAAAATTCTTTTTTATCAAGGCTAACACCATTATTTAATCAATAATTAGTATAGGAAGATAAATAATTTTGAAAAATTAAAATAATGAGCTAGGCATGATGACTCACGCCTATAATCCTGGCACTTTGGTAGGCTGAAGTGGAAGGATGGCTTCAGGATAGGAGTTCAAGACCAGCCTGAGAGCAACACAGCAAGACCTCATCTCTACAAAAATCAGAAAAATTAGCCAGGTGTGGTATGCATCTGTAGTCCCAGCTACAAAGGAGGCTGAGGCAGGTGGATCACTTGAGCCCAAGATTTTGAGTTTGCAGTGAGCTATGACGATGCCACTGCACTCTAGTTCAGGCAACAGAGGGAGACCTTGTCTCAAAAAAAAAAAAAAAAAAGATTTGGGTAACTTTAAAAATTACTTAAATTTTCTAAAATTCAAGCTAAGTTTTTGGTGGCCTTCAACATAAATTACAACTACTTAATTATGTAGTTTTAAATTATGTAGAGAAAGAAATTAAACAATATTGCTATGAGGTCTGTGTTTAAACAAATTTTTTAGGATCTCATTTCAAATTTACTATAATAAACACATGGATATTAAAAATAGATGTATAACAAAATAAAAGTAAATAGTTAATACTATCATAATAGACAAAAATACTAGAATACAAAGTTATCTTGAGAAAGTCTTTTTTATGTGAAATATCTGTATTTATGAATGGGCAAGATCTTACAAATACACATGAAAAATAACAACTATCATTTGTATAATCCTCAGCATTTACAAAACACTTTTTCATACATTGTCTCATTTACTATAAATAACTTCTGAACTAAATAGATTCTATTATCTATAAAAGTATAATGCAGAAGTCAATGTTTACTCTAAAATTAAAGTATACCAATTGCACCTACAACTATCTTTCAACTAAAATAATGGAAAATTGTTTTCTGAATTGATCTGATACTTATCATAAAAAGGTATATATCATTTTAAAATTATGATTTAAAAAATAAAAATTGCCCCCAAATTTGTAAGTTTTTCAGAGTTTTCCTCAGAATTTAGATTCTAGCTAAGTATTAAAGGATTAAAGTTTCCAATGTCTATTTGAAATCTCTGTATCATTCTAAGCTGAGAAAAAGTTTACTAATGTTAGATTTTGATTACAACCTTGGTTTTAACAGAAATCTGGAGACACTATAATCACATATTTGCATCATCTCTCCTATGACAAGGAATATACAATTATAATGTGAGAGACAATAGTGACTGGGAAGTCAAAATAGAGCAAGCTACCTGGAACATCCCTAAAATGTTGTAAATTATTAGGTGTCCACCCAGACTCATGATAATCACTTATGCTATAGTTCCTGCCATATCTATCTATTTGCCTTAGAAAAAAACTTTACATTTGTCTCTGAAAACTGATAAGCTTTATAAACTGGAGTTGAGAAATCTAGATGAAAGCAGTTTGTTGTATAGAAGCTTGAAAATGTTGATCACTATTTTACACCATGGGTACCAAATGAAAGACTTATCTTAGAAGATGGGAACTACTGCTAAGTTTTTTTCAGACAGCTAACTTTAAAAGAAAAATGGACCCACTGAGATAGCTGGTCCCTGCTTTATCCTATTAAAGGTACCTTAACAGTAGAGACTCTCAGGATCTTCAGCTCTTCACAAGAAAATAGGATAACCCAAAGAAAAGGTCCTCACCCAAGTGCCATACTAATGAGACCAAACCCTACTGGGCTAGGGAGAAAACCTGTCCTTGTTTTTCACAATATTGCAAAATGGATTTCAACTCATTTGTCAGATTCAAGAAAAGGAGCTTCCTTAGGGGATTTAGAGATGATGCATAAATACTTTGAGAGCCACAGTGGGTCATTTTTCCTTCAATGGTTATTTAATTTTTTCTGAGGAATTAACCTTTAATTTAAATCCCCCTTTTAGGAGAACTTATTTTTTTGTATCTTGTACCTACCCCCCTCCCTCATGCAAAACATGTTTAACAGACAGCAATTCTAAGAATGAAGTCACAATTAGTATTTTATGATATGTGCATTGTCATTATATTTTTATCAATTACAGAGGAAAAACCTTCATAGAATTAATCAGTTTAGATATACTTCGTGAGTGACAAAATTTTTTAAAACTGATTTTTTTCCCCTTAGAATGCATTCTGAACATTGATTCAACCTAAATGAAGCCTCAAGTCATGCAATTTTCTACATATAGGACAAAATAAGGAATATACAGTCTTGCAGATAAACATACATTAAAGAAGAGACTACTCATAAGTTCCTAAAAGATACGTAGACAGACATTATTTTCTACTCCACATAGGCTTCTTACAAACACTTAAAAAGGTACATCTCAAAGGCCAAGCAACAACCACCATTACCCTTAACAAAAAGAATTTTTTTTTTTGATTATAGGAAAGGCTTTATTACAGTTTGAAAGACTGATATTTGGGGGAGAAAGGCACCAAATTGTTATTTTTACTATTTTTTGCATATGGTACAAAGGAGATAAGTTCGCACTCTGGAGTTTTAAAAACATCTCATCTTGGATCGGTGTGGCTTCTTGGGTGAGGTATCCAGCTTCAGAGCTTAAAGCATTTCTCATTGTATCTATGAATAGTCACACAACCATGATAGGACACTGGCCTGGGCATTGCAGCTACCCCTGTGATGATACTTGTTGCAGGATCATAACAGAGAATAGTGTCTGTGGCTTCTCCATTTTCCCGTCTTCCACCCAGGATATATATTTTACCATTACACACAGACATACCACAGTTTTCCTGTTTAACCAAACACATAAAAAAAAAAAAAATTAACCATTGAAGATAAGCGATTTGGTAACAAACTGACAAGTAAAATAATGCAAGGAGACATGAGCTAAGCTCCCTTTTGCCCAACTCTTGTCCTGGATAACTTTATTAATACATGGATGAAGTGAGTGTTAAAATAGATTATATATTAGTAATTGGATCCAAGATGTAGAAGGGTAGGGGGGACATGGTAGATTGATAGAAGGGTTTTAACTTAATGGAAATTCAACAAAAATATCTTTGAGGAGGTTGGCTTGCTTCTCCTATTACAGGAAGTTTATTATAGAAAGTAGCTATTACATGATCAAGGAGTAGGAACATTATTCATTACATGGGATTACCCACAAGTTGAATGAATGAATGAGAGAAATATTTATAACTAAATTAACAAAACAGTGTTATTGGGGGAGGAGGATTGGCTGGGACATAGAAATGAAGCAAATAACATTTTATAGTTAACTTTCCACACAATGGAATTTTTAGCTAAATTTTACTCTTCTTTGTCAATAATATAGTTACTATGTAAAACAATTCTTGTAAAGATAAGAGAAATTTTTTTTTTTTGAGACAGAATCTCGCTTTGTTGCCCAGGCTAGAGTGAGTGCCATGGCATCAGCCTAGCTCACAGTAACCTCAATCTCCTGGGCTGAAGCAATCCTACTGCCTCAGCCTCCCAAGTAGCTGGGACTACAGGCATGTGCCACCATGCCCAGCTAATTTTTTCTATATATATTAGTTGGCCAATTAATTTCTTTCTATTTATAGTAGAGACGGGGTCTCGCTCTTGCTCAGGCTGGTTTCGAACTCCTGACCTTGAGCAATCCGGCTGCGTTGGCCTCCCAGAGTGCTAGGATTACAGGCATGAGCCACCATGCCCGGCCAAGATGAGAGAAATTTTTCAAAGAAAGAATTAACACTAAAATTGGCTCACTATTTCATGGATCTGGTTTTGCTGGAGATCAAATATTCTTCCATTTACATTTAACTTTAATTCATAAAGTTATTGCATTTTATCATCCTGGTTCCATATAACCAGCAATGAAATAGGTTTTATTAACAAGTTCAATAAGCATTTTTACTCAACCAGATTTATGGTACATAAATTTTGCATTAGTAGAATAAATTAAATCTTGGTGGACTTATATAATAGAAGGCTACTATCTTCAGGCCTGAAAAGAATTAGTGATTACTTAAAAATGCCTATATTAGAGTTTATATATACCCAGAATGACCTGGCCCATTATCATTAATGAATGACACTTTTATCCAAAATACCACACCACCACAAATTGCACCAATGTGGGCCAAATTATAATATTTTTCACTTAAAGTACAGTGAGCTCTTTCTATAAGTTCTAAAAGTTCTGAATACAATGAAAACAAAAAATCTTTAATTTACAGATGTAAGTTAGTTCCCACTATTGAACTTTATAGTTACTGTGATGATGACTCTAAAACAATATATAATTATATGATCTGCTTATTTACATAATTTCAGATAATAATGATTACAATTAAATGAAGCAGGCAACCTTAAAAACAAATATTAGTATCAGGAAATTACTTCTACCAGATATAATAATTCATTTCATACTATGTAAAATACTTACTGATTGTTTAAGCTATGTGTTTATTTATTCTATGTGGAAAAACTTATTCTTCTCTCAGTTTGTAAGGGCCGCTAGTCAGAAATAGAATTTACCAATACATAAAATTTTAATGTTATTTTAAAAGACTGAGATGAAACATGATTCTAATATTGTAAAAAAAAAACAAAAAACCTCTCCTTAATTATTATTTTTGTATACTCAAATGTTAAAATGTCAACAATACACAAAAGGAATCAAATTTCTTTTTCATTTAGTTATTCTAATCTTTAATGATATTTTAAATACCTGGTCTACTGAAAAAAAAAAAGTTCATCATTGACTTAAAAAAATACCCCACATTTTTTTTGAAGGATATTCCTGACAGAGGTTAAAAAGCAAGATATGTTTAGAATAATAAGTGTGGCTTTTAGGAATTAGGCAAGGTTAAGAGGCATGAAAATAGTGAAGGGCAAATAGATAGTCTGGGTCCATTAGGACTATAAAAAGGGAGCTCATTTTTTTTAGCTGTTTTTATCATTTAATAGTCTAAGGATTTTTTAAACAAGTAATAGCTTTGGACTCACTTAACTGCCTACAATGAAAGTAGTTTGACTTAACCTATTTCACTGATTAGCATTAAAAGGGTAGGGAATCCCTTACAATGGTTCAAAAATTACCTATCAATAATGTATACATAGATATACTTAGTAGTATTGGCAGTAAGAATGAACAGGGAAGAGAAGATAATCCCAAAAATCTCAGTAGTAGATTTTGACTTCAATGATTTGTCTTTGCTAGATTTAATATACTTCTTTTTTTTTTTTTTTTTTTGAGACAGAATCTCACTTTGTTGCCCAGGCTAGAGTGAGTGCCATGGCGTCAGCCTAGCTCACAGCAACCTCAAACTCCTGGGCTCAAGTGATCCTATTGCCTCAGCCTCCCAAGTAGCTGGGACTACAGGCATGCGCCACCATGCCCGGCTAATTTTTTCTATATATATTAGTTGGCCAATTAATTTCTTTCTACTTATAATAGAGATGGGGACTCGCTCTTGCTCAGGTTGGTTTCGAACTCCTGACCTTGAGCAATTCGCCTGCCTCGGTCTCCCAGAGTGCTAGGATTACAGGCGTGAGCCACCTCGCCTGGCCTATACTTCTTTTTTTTGTTTTATTTTAGTGTATTATGGGTACAAGTGTTAGGTACTTAATATTGCCCATGCCCCCCTCCCCCCTTATACTTCTGATCTAAATGTTTTTTCCTTAAAATTTCCAAAGTCAATGTTGTTCATTATTTAATTGGAGAAAATGTGCCATGTGTGTCCCGTTATTTTACTTTTTTACCTCAGTAACCTAGTTAAAAACATATTCATTGTATGCCCTGCATAAAGCTAGATGCTGGCAATTATCTTCCTAAGTTCTGTTATTGTTTTGTACAGTATAGCCAAGTTCCAAACGAACAGTAATTCTTTGTCAACACTTGACCATAATGAAGATTCTTATGTGGTAGGACACATTCTCAACTCTACAGAGTTGGGGATTGTGCTTTCCGGGAGAGGCCACTGCGCTATAGAAATGTGATTTGTTTTTGTTTTTACTTAAATGTGATGTGAGACCAATAAAAAATTATACTCATTCTGTACCATGAAGCTGAAGAGCCTATTATGTCCCTTTCATCAGTTGGGGCAATGTTATTTCAAATACATTACTAACTAGAGACTATACCTCAATGTCAACAACTTTAGAAAAATGGTGTTATACTCAAACTCTATTCACTATCCTTATAGTCTATGCTGTATCTCTTATGTATCCTGTATATAAGATTATCTTAAAATTAGGTCCCCCTCTGTTACTTTGCTTCCTGATTTGTTTACTTATTCAATAAATACAAATACATAAGAGATGAGTTAGAACAAATAGTATCTTCAGGAAGACTGAATTCCAGTGTAGGAAATAAATATTTATACCCATAAGGGAATATATGACTGCCACGATAGAAGTGTAAGTGATTTAATAGATCAGAAAGAAATAAGATCAATTCTGGCCAAGGGAAACTCAGTTTGTTATAACTACCAAGTGATTCTTGAAAAATGAGTAGAATTACAAGTAGAGAAGGTAAAAAAAGCATGAGAGGTTAAGAGGACAGCATAAATAAAGGCAAGAACATTTATTCTGTTTAGAGAATACAAATAACAGATACTTAATGTAACTGGGGTAAAGTTATAAAAAGTAAAGCTGAATGAGCAAGCAAAGTTCAGAAAATAGGAGGTCTAGAATGATCTGGTAAAACTTTTGGATTTTATTCAGTAGGTTTCCAATCAGGAAAGAGGCATAATTATATTTGTTGGAAAATAACTGGTGGCAAAAAGGTTAGAGAGGCAAGACATTAGAGAAAGGAAATCTAATTAGATATCACTGTTTTTGTTTAGGTAAGAACTGATGAGAACTTGAACAAAAGTAGGAACAATAAGAATGGGAAAACTAAGAGAAAAACTTTTGAGGACAGTGCATTGATATGCTGGATTGATTTAAATTAAGAGAAAGTGAGGAAAATCTAATAAATTAAGTTTCTAGGTTATTTGGAAATATAGAAAAAGTAGGTTTGGAAATGAAGGTGAGTTCTATTTTAAGTTTAAAATCTTGTAACACCCATGAAAAATATCAAATAGGCAGTTGGAAATTTGAGTTGGGACCATAGGAGAGAGGTTTTCATGGAGATAAAGACTTAGAAGTCATCAGTATGGAGTAGATGAGATTATTTAGGAATAAACTGGGAAGAAGGCAGAGGAAAGAGGCTCAAGGAATATCCATATTTAAGGAATGTGTAGAAAAATAACAGAATATGAATGAGAGTAAGGAGATTATTAGTAGTGACCTTTGAAGAGTACAAAATCTCCAGAGTGGTATGAGCATAGCCAGATTTTCAGCAGCAGAACCATCAAACATTTTGGTGGTATGAGGAAGGAGAGTAGAGCCATGAATCAAAAGGTTTAAGGGAAGGCCTTTTTGGGGTGGCATTGGATGCAGGGAGTAGGGCTCCAAGTGGAGTGTGTGGATGAGAGAACTGAGCACAACCATTTCCTTTCCTAACAAAAACAACAAGTTACCTAGCCTCTAACCAGAGAAGCAATCAGTCTGGGAACATTTCTTCCCTTCTGAAATATGAGAGAGAGAGGGGATAAGGACTGGAGTAGAATTATGAAAAAGGTCACGGGGAAAAAAAAATCAACAGCCCAAGTACAGCAGATACTTTACTATGGGATGGTGAAAAGGAAGTTATTTCAATAAAATAATTCCTTGGAGGGAGTTCAAAACAGGTACAACATAATGCTTTATATGTGGAGTTTTTTAAAATTATAAAATAATTCATGCACACATGAAATATTTTAAATTTAAAATTCCAGTGTTTTAATAATGATCATGTACTTGGTCCCCTCTTCGATTTAGATTTATTTTTCTTTTGGACTGTTTTATGTTATTACCTGTCGGCTGAATGTATTCTGTACATGCATCCAGTAATCTTCAACTGGATCGTAACAGTATATTGCCTTCGTCAGTCCGCCAGCAACATATATCAGGTTGTTTAGGGATACGGCTGTTATACACCTCTTGGCAATTGGAATAGCTGCACGAAGTAGCCAAGAATTGGTTTCTGGATCATAAGATTGAACCTAATAATATATAAAAATATTTAATTATAATTTCTAAACAAAAATATATATTTATTTAATAGTCTACCAATATATAGAAACATGATTAAAAATAAAATCCCATTAATCCAGAGAATTAAGGAAGGTTAGCCTGACAGTGAAATGTCTGAATTCTGAAAATTCTCAAAAGAAATGCAAATATATTAATTACTGTCAAGCAGAATAGAATAACAAACAGATTGTTTCTAGGATGAATGGTTACCAGGCTTATTTTACTTATTTCCACTGAAATTAACAATCTAAATTTTTAAAAAATTATGTTACATAGGATAACCATACCTTAATCTTAATATAATTTCTTTACACTTTTAGGGAGTCCTTTCTTCAAAAGAACACAAGTAAATCTCAATTCAGTATATTCCGAATTATCACAAATTCTGAATTAATGAATTCTAAATGAATAACATTTGACTACATTATATTTAAATTTAATTTAGAAAAAATTGAATGATAAAATTCAGTTAACATTGCTAAACCAATTAGGCATTAGACACTTTTTTTCCAGAATAAACATGGTATTACTGGGATATCAGATGGTATATACTCTTGTCCCAGGAGTGCGATGAACTGTGGCAACTTTGAGCCATCCTCTATTAACACTACAGAGGTTTCCTTTCCTATTCTGTCCTAAAAAATACTTTAAAAAGTGTGCAGAAAATGACCCAGTTGGAAGCAATATATTTTCTGTGTCTTGCCCTTTGCTAATTCACTTCCCAACTGTGTTTTGTGTGAATAATTTTTAGATTCTATAGATGATAGCAATAAAAGGCTCAGAAAAAATTACATACTATAAAACTTTGACACTGAGATTAGTTTCACTTCAAAAAGATTGGATCATATTTGTTATAGCAAATTTTTAGATATATTAAGGTCTCACTTTAGCAATCCAGAATTCAGTGCTTTCACCCCACAAGTGTAAGGTACCAGACAATTTTTAAAAGACCCCCTCACACTAAGCAACCTAGCTACCTAATTGTTAAGAGTCTTCTGTATTTCCCTTCTTATAGATACCATTGGTAATTTCTTTAAGAGAATATGGCTTACCTTATCAGAACAAGTATTATCATCAGGTCCTCCACCAATCACAAACAATTTGCCTACGCAGCTAGTCACTGCAGGAGAACTCACTGCTTCTTTAAGGGGAGCAACTTCAGTCCATCGATTTGAAAAGGAATCGTAACATTCTACGCTGCTAAGTCTGTTTTGCCCATCATAGCCTCCAACAACATATACCTATATATAAAATACATGGAAAAATCTTAATTATGAAAAGTCTGAATTCTGAGCCAGTTGATTAAAGAGAGATCTCTCCCCTTTAAAAAGCCCTTGATATATTTGTAAATATATTTGTAATAAATACAAATATTACAAATAAATATATTTGTAATATATTTAGCTCAGAGTTTCTGAGCATTTTTTTTATCATCACGCCACCACCACTATGGAGCCTTTTTTGATATTTTTTTCTAATAGCTCCCCCTCAATGAAATTTTAATATCGCAGATAAATTGTGCATCTGTTTACCTTACTTTATGTATATCTGCATAGCTTACTTTCATGTATAAGGCATAAAAGAGTATTATTTTTTTCACCCCTCAAGAACCAATCTTTACCACCCATTTGGGGTAATATCGTTCACACTGAGAATTATATGATTTAGCTTAAATATTTATACTCATGGATAATGAAATATTTGATTATAAAGTAATAAAGCTATGAAATAAAAATCTTATGTGTAAGGATTGTTAGACTGTAAGAATTTTGAAGGCAGATCTATCTTTTAGCCCCTGAAGTGCCTAGAAAAGTACCTGATACATAATGAACTATATACTCTATATTTCAAAGACCTTTCACATACCTTTTCCTTTCACAAATATGAGAAAGGTAGCACAAATTAGTATCTTTATATGATAGATGATAGGTGAACTAATCAATAAGAGTTTTCTTTTCTTTTTTTTTGAAACAGGGTCTCATTCTGTCACCCTGGCTAGAGAGCTACAGCATCATGACAGCTCACACTGCAACCTCAAACTCTTGGGCTTAAGTGATCCTCCTGCCTCAGCCTCCTGAGTAGCTGGGACTGCAGGCATGCACCATCACGCCCGCTAATTTTTTTTATTTCTTGTAGAGATGGGGTCTTGCTCTTGTTCAGGCTGGTCTTGAATTCCTGACCTCAAGCAGTCCTCCTGCCTCAGCCTCCCAAAGTAAGATACTTATTAAGCATCACGGTATATCTAAGAAATATGTCTTCTTTTTTAACCTCAAGAAGCTCTCCAGCTTAACATCCACATTTCTCTTAGTGGACAGCCATCATTAATTCTTCCCTCCATATCTAATTAACTATTAGGTTCTACTGAGCCTTCTTCCACATCATCTCTTGAATCATCCTATTCTTTTGTTTCCCATTGTCACCACCCTACTTAAGAGTCCACTCTCAAATAACCTCTTGATCTCCACCGTTGTGCTCTCTAAACCACAGATTAATCTTCCTAAAACACTTCATCAATTCCTTTAATAGTTAACAATGAATGTCTAAGAGTCAAGGCCAAATTTCATATCTTATCATTCAAATTTATCCACAATTTGTTTTTCTGTGCTCCTCCAGATTTTCACAGTAGCCAATGCCACTTCTATCATGCATTTCTCACATAGGTTAAAATGATCTATTGGTGGTTTTATGCCTCCATTACTATGAAGCTCAGACAGGGTAAGTAACTTACAAAAGGCCACACAGCTATAAGGGGTAGGAACCTGTGACACAATGTAGCAATTATGAGCATATGCTTTGAAGCCAGGACAGCTGGGTTCATATCTAGCTCTGCTACCCAACGTTAAGGGTAGTTTATCTATCCTCTTAGAGACTCAGTATTTATTTTCTTAATTATAAAATATAGACAGTAATATCTATTACATGATACTTATAAACCAAGTTTAGAAAGAACTTTGTCTTTATACACAAAGTTCCATTAAATAGTCTCTATGATTCCTTCCTGCTCTAAGATTCTATACTTCAAACCATTCTAGGTTTTCTTAACAGAGTATTTATAAATTTTAATAATTTTATAACCTTGAATTCAACCTATATTATAATTTTTAGGTTAATGATTTACATGAATCAAATACTTGCTTTGTAAGATGGGAATGATTATTTTTATTTCTTGATTTAGTGTTTCTGGGCTTTGGGTACTTTCAAGTATATTAATATTTGCCAAATAAATTTGAGTTTATCAATACATATATGGTTTTTAGACATCAGTCATTGTCATTGCCTTTATATGTTTAGACTAAATAATTATAATTTTTTTAGTCATACATCATCTTCTTCCAATCCCTTTATTTTAGCACCTCTTTTCCAGTAATATTTTGTCATTCTTGAAGCACAGCTATTAAAACCATATATAATATAGTAGGTACAGATAAACCAATGGTCTTTAAAAGATTCTATTAATATTTTATTTTCAATACATCTCTCTCAAGGTCCTTATTATTTCATTGGCCTTGTCGACAGCAGCAGCATAAATCAAGGTCCCTAGGAATCAACAATAGCTTATAAACTATGTTTTAAGAAGCTCTAGTATTCTATAGCATAGAGGTTTTAGGAAACCTCTGTGGGGAAATAAGAGAAGGAGGACTGATGAGAGCCTGTGTGGGAAGGGCTCCAGGCCACCACTCTGTTTCAACTAGAGAAGTTCTGTTTTTTCACTGGTGACTCTGAAATGTCTCCATAGGGGGAAGTAAGAGGCAGCAATCTAAAATTTAGAAAGGGGTGCTAGGAGGCTAGTTAAAGATATATGAGCAAGCAAGGATGCTGCTTTTACTGAGATTGTTCATTACTTTGAGGTGGCTTTGAAGGAGCTGAAAGAGACAAGGATAGGGAGAAGCTAAAAACTCCAAGTTACTCCTTGGTAAAACTGCTGTATTTTTTTTCTTAATATATACAAATTGGCTGAGTGTAGTGGCTCATGCCTGTAATCCTAGCAGTCTGGGAGGCCAAGGCGGGAGAATCGTTCAAGGTCAGGAGTTTGAAACCAGCCTGTGAGACCCTATCTCTACTAAATATAGAAAGAAATTAATCAGCCACTAAAAATATATAGAAAAAATTAGCCGGGCATGGTGGCACATGCCTATAGTCCCAGCTACTTGGGAGGCTGAGGCAGGAGGATCACTTGAGCCCAGGAGTTTGAGGTTGCTGTGAGCTAGGCTGATGCCACAGCACTCTAGCCTGGGTAACAGAGTAAGACTCTGTCTCAAAAAAAAACACAAAACAAAAAAACAAACCAAATTGGGTAGCACTCCACCTATAATAAATAGAAAGGTGCTCTAACTGCTGTGTTTTTATTTGTTTTAGGAAATAGATTTTTATATTAGATTTAACTTTTAAAAAGAGGATATAATACAGGTTGATCGTCCCAAATTTGAAAATCTGAAATTCATAATGCTCCAAAATTCAAATACTTTTGAGCAAGGACATGATGCTCAAAGGAAATGCTCATTAGAGAATTTCAGATTTTGGATGTTCAACCAATATAATGCAAATGTTACATAATCTGAAAAAATCTGAAATCTGAAATACTTCTCGGTCCCAAGCATTTCAGATAAGGGATACCTAATGGGTGCAGTGCATACCGTCTGAGGGACGGACATGTTTGAAGCTCTGACTTGGGTGGGGCAAAGGCAACAAATGTAACCTAAACATTTGTACCCCTATAATATGCTGAAATAAAAAAAAATTTAATAAAAATAAATAAAAAATAAAATAAAAAGTTTGGAAACCACTAGTCTACATCTGATTCTTGAGTTCCTAAGGACAGTCCAGAAACCAAAATCTGTATAAATATTTTATAATATTCATTAGCTGCAGTCAAGAACACATTTTCCTTAAAATATGTTGGTGAGTTTATCTTAATATTTAAATTCATTGTCTCTACTTGTACAAATAAAAAACATAAGATAACATCACTTAGATAAATATATCTCTGCTTGACTGCCAAAGTCAGTTAAAAAGAAAAAAACTGCTTGAATTAGACATTGGCCTGTCTCTGTATTTGATGTAACTCCTTTATTTGCCAATGCTTCTTAGGCATCTGGACTCCAATGGTGCATGAAAAGAGAAATGTGCTGCACTGCCATGAATTTCAAATTGGGAGAACAAAATATCCATTCAAAAGTACAGTGTAATATTGTTTGTATCTTCAGTTTATCTACTGAAGTTAGAAATGGAAGGAAATAAAATTTGAATCCAAAATAGCCAGAGGGAGAGTAAAATGAAGGATTCAGCGGTGGCATTTATTTTGGAAATGTGCCAGGAATAGTAATAAAAAGTGGTTTCTCTTACTTTACCAAGGAGGACAGCCATTTTGTGACGCCATCTGCCTTTGTTTAGAGAGGCAACTCTGATCCAAATATTTAACTGTGAGTTATAAATCCAGACATCACGGCTATTGATTCTTCCACCTTTAAATGCAAAGCAATGCACACACAATAGTATATCGCCATATATCTATCATCAAGGGATCTACGCCACCAAAGCATAGGTAACGAAAACGTGGGATTTATTCACCCAATTCAAGAATATGAGAATTCAATAAATGAAACAAGGACCTCTTAAAGTTTAATGGAAATAGTTCTACAGAGTAGATTTAAAGTTTGTCAATTGATATCTTGAGAAGTAATGATTATAGGCCCAAAATAATAAATTACAGAATATAAATTTTACAGCTGTATAAGATTATTAATTTAAAACAAAACAAACAGGTAAAAGTTTAAAATATTATATTCTATATACATTAGAGAACATTTAAAATATGATATGATTAAAGGCATTTGCTGGAAGATCTTTTGTATATAAATCATTCTGCATCATCTTGTGCCTGTTTTTAAGAGCAAAATATCATTGCTAATTGAGCTGTGTAAACTGATCTGCCTAAAGTGGGCATATTCACATTTCACTATTTTCTTTTAAGACACAGTTATTGTTTAAAATAGCCCAGCTGTCCAAATTAAAAGTAGCTACTGTAATAATTCTATATTTACCTGAAACAAGAATGTCATTCCTTAGAGCACATACTGCATACTCTGATTTTGTAAATTCTGGAAGCTTAGCCAAAGATTTCCATTCTCCTGTTACAGGATCATAGCATTCAGTGTACGGAAGATTAAAGCCTCCAACTCGTTCACATCCTCCAACGACAACTATCACCTCAGAATAGCCAGTGGACCTAAAATAATTATTATTAGAATGCATAAATAATATTAAATTAAAATATCTCAAGATTTTTTAAAACCCTAGAAACAAACCACACACAATTATAAACAGTCAAGTTTACTCTCTGTGCACATAACAAAACTACAGGCCGGCAATCACTTACTTTGAGAACATTTGCAGGGTAGTTAGTGACATCATTATTCCACAGAAAATTTCTATGGGTATTTTCTATTGGTTTTGACTTAAAAACTGTAAAGCAGACCAGGCGTGGTTGCTCATGCCTGTAATCCTAGCATTCTGGGAGGCCAAGGTGGGAGGATTGCTTGAGCTCAGGAGTTCAAGACCAGCCTGGGCAAGAGGGAGACCTCGTCTCTACTATAAATAGAAAGAAATTAGCCAAACAACTAAAAATAGAAAAAATCAGCCAGGCACGGTGGCATATGCCTGCAGTCCCAGCTACTTGGAAGGCTGAGGCAGGAGGATCGCTTGAGCCCAGGAGTTTGAGGTTGCTATGAGCTAGGCTGACTCCACTGCACTCTAGCCCAGGCAAGAGACTCCGTCTCAAAAAAAAAAAAACAAAAAAACCCACCAACAACTGTAAAGCAGTCCAAAGATCCTATCTAACCCAATTGGAGCCCTGGTAATATTAAAGATGACTTTCAAATGCAGTTTTGCAGCAATTGCCCAAAAAGGTAAGATAATGCAGTTTTCTAATTGTAGGAAAATGGTGCTTTTTAATCAGATCGCTAGTTCTAAAAAACTAATTTGCAGTATAATCCAAATACTCTCTAAAGGAGTGTATATACGTATTTGTTCAGAAATTAATTTTTTAAATACAAAGCCAAGTAAATCAAGGTAATCTAACTCAACATGTTGGGCGGACACTAAAAAAGCTAACAGAGTTTATAACAAAGAATGAAAGAAAGCACAATGAAGAATTGTACATAACATATATTCAATATTATGTAAATAATGTGTCCAGAAAGAATGTACCAAAATGCTAATGATAGTTGTTTCTGAATTGTGTGGCCCTCCCTTTCTTTTTTTGTTTCTTTTTCTTTCTTTCTTTTCTTTTTTTAGAGACGGGGTCTCACTCTGTTGCCCAGGCTGGAGTGTGGTGGCACAATCACAGCTCACTGTAGCCCCTAACTCCTGGGCTCAAGCAATCCTCCTGCCTCAGCCTCCTGAGCAGCTGGGACTATAGGTACATACCACCATGCCTGGCTCCCCCTTTCTATTAATACCATTATAAATTTTCAAACCAATAATGAGCCTGGGCTATTTTTAGAATGGAAAAAATGACTTTCAAAACCATGAAGAGAATATTAATGTTTATGTCAATCACTGGCTTCTCTTGTTTTACAATATAAATTTAAGATAGAGACAGGAAAAACCAAAAGCTTATCCAAGATGTTTTTTGTTCATAAGGCTCAATAGATAGTTTTGGAATTTAAAATTTTTAGGCTTCTCCCTACCCCACAAATATAATCTAAATGAAAAAGTCTTGTAATTACATTTTATGGTTGCTACAAGTTCAGTCTCATAAAGAAAAATGCCAACAGGCCAGGCGCAGTGGTTCACACCTGTAATCCTAGCACTCTGGGAGGCTGAGGCAGGAAGATAGCTTGAGCTCAGGAGTTCGAGACCAGCCTGAGCAAGAGCGAGACCCCATCTCCATTAAAAAAAAAGTAAAAAAAATGCCAACTATCCTTCTCTTACCTAAATATACAAAGGAAAAAAAAGACCACATCAATACACTCATTTGTAGTTTCAGTCAGTGTAATGTTACACAATTAAACTAGGAAAAAAACCAAAGTAAGCAATATTGCGCAATTGCTCATGCCTGTAATCCTAGCACTCTGGGAGGCCGAGGCAGGCAGATTGCTCGAGGTCAGGAGTTCAAAACCAGCCTGAGCAAGAGCGAGATCCCCGTCTCTACTATAAATAGAAAGAAATTAATTGGCCAACTAATATATATAGAAAAAATTAGCCGGGCATGTGGTCATGCCTGTAGTCCCGCTACTTGGAGGCTGAGCAGAAGGATTGCTTGAGCCGCAGAGTTTGAGGTTGCTGTAAGCTAGTCTGACGCCATGGCACTCACTCTAGCCTGGGCAACAAAGCGAGACTCTGTCTCAGAAAAAAAAAAAAAAAGTAAGCAATATTGGTATATTTCCTTTAACAGAGCTGTTCTAGCTACATTTACTCAAAGCTATTTCAACTAATTGAATCATTCACCTATTCTATGCCAGACATACTTTTTCCATTATAAAATCAGAAATACATAAGACAGAAAAGAATTTTGCTCATACATGCAACAAAAATTACTGGAATCCAGCAAGTTATATAACTCTAATCTAGTATATATTAAAATAGTAATGGAAGAACTAACTATTAATTGAGTATAATATTGCTATTTTAGAATTATAAATTCCAATTAAAAATATTAAAAATAAAGAGAACATAGTACCAGATACTGTAGTAGTACAACTACTGACTCACTTATCATTCTTTCCATAGAATTATCAATTCCTAAAACCACACTTAAAATCTAAGACAAATTCATGTGATATCCCTCAAAGTCTTATGTATTGATCAATCAAAATGAAAACTGCTAAATACTGTTACTGTTAAGTCACCTCTAATTGTTTTATTATAAAATCCAGAGTAATTACTTTATACTATAGCATTTTGTTTTATACTTTTTTCTTTTTTTTTTTTTTTTATGAATTTTTTTTTTTTTTGAGACAGAGTCTCACTTTGTTGCCCAGGCTAGAGTGAGTGCCATGGCGTCAGCCTCGCTCACAGCAACCTCAATCTCCTGGGCTCAAGCAATCCTACTGCCTCAGCCTCCCGAGTAGCTGGGATTACAGGCATTCGCCACCATGCCAGCTAATTTTCTGATATACTATCAGTGGCCAATTAATTCTTTGTACTTATGTAGCCACCCGACGGTCTCGCTCTTGCTCCGGCTGGTTTCGAACTCCTGACCTTGATCAATCCGCCCGCCTCGGCCTCCCAGAGTGCTAGGATTACAGGCGTGAGCCACCGCGCCCGGCTCCTTATAATGTTTTACTTGTTTTATACTTTCCCTCTGCTCAAACTTGTTTGCCTTTTTCAAGACTTCTTAGCCCAATAAACATATATTATCTATTTTTGTACCTTGGAACAGGAAGAGAAAACTGCATGAAAAGCTAATCGGGAAACATGTAGTCCACTAAGTAAAGGATAACTTCAGTGTCTATTGGCACGTGTATTTATCTGAAAGGATCAACAAGCTAGGAGTTTTTCCTGTATAGAAGGTCCTATTTGCAACCAAATGGCTTTTAACTTAATTAGATACAAGTCTGGTATTCTCATTAGAGACTGTTAACCCAATAAAAGGGTTATTTTTTGGGCTTAGAAAAAAACTCACCTCAGACAGAGAGCTGACTGCCTTAAAATAAATAGGTTACCCCATCTGATAATGGCAAGTAGAACAAAAAGGCAGTCAAGATGATAGTATAGCATGAATAAAATTCTGGATATCCATGTAGTCTATTTTTAGAGTGAATGTCACTCTATTTCATTAATTCTTTAACATAAAAATTCTGATTTTCTGATACGATAACATAACAAATATTTGTTGCTTTAGTATTAAATCTCACTATTTCTTCCCAGGAAAACATGATGACCAAATTATCCTTTTTACAATGGTAATATGTTTTACAAAAAAAAATCATCATCTTCTTTTATGATAAATTTTAAAAAGATCAAATTAAAAGATCACATTCTTTGATTTATGTAAAAGATAAATTATAAATCCATAAGAGCTTCTGTTATGACAAGACGTCTGTTCATTATCTGTGGTGAATGTATCTTGCTCTTACTCTGTAAACCTGTATCTTGCTCTTGCTCTGTAAACCTATCTTGTCCTTCCTCAATAAACTTTGTTTTATGCCTGCAAAAAATAAAAAATCCACAAGATACTCTAAACCAAATCAACAAAACAGGTAATAATTGTCAGATTCACTTAAAAATATCAAAAGGTGAAATACAGGAATTGCTGGCTGAAATAACAGACCTACTTATAATTAATGTCAAATACACCAAGAGACATGTGAAGTACCAAACTATCTTCCATTAACAAAAAGGGCTGAAAAGTGATCCTGGCTAAAAAGAATAACTGCATACTTAAAAAAAAAACCAAAAAACATACACACACAATAGAAAAGGGAGAGTGTTTCCAGGTAGTGGGAAGTTAGAAAGGAGGAGAAGGGAAAGACGTTAGTGATATTGTCTATTCATCATTCCCAAACTCAAAAATATACGAAAATGAAACTGTCAAACCAAAATAATGAACTAAAGTAGAGATCTGAGACTTTAAGCCTTAAAAAGACAGAATGATTCTCTAGTCTGTTAAGATATGACAGTTACCAAACTCAATGTATTGATTTATCTAAAGAAAGAACTATTTATCAGAAGAGGGAATGTATCAGCCCTAGAAGCAGTAAGTAAATGAATGAACAAATGAATGAGAGTAGATGATCATAGAGGCAAACATTTGCTGTATCCATTCAAGTTACTATATAAGGACAAAGAGACTCCTAGCTAAGCTAACTTGAACATTACTAGTTCTTTGGCAACAATATTTTTATGGTGAATGAGACTTCTCCAACCTATACTAGCTGAGAGGACTCCAGTTCTAAAGATATACAATTAATAAATCCCTTGTGTGGATTCCATGCTTGCCAAACAACCTTTGAATATGCTGGGTAGACTGACTTAAAATATCTAGTCTGCTTGACAGTTCCATTTCTTATTGCAGATAAACATATGTAGATTGGAAGATAAATGAATTAATCAATCTCTCATAGAATCATGGAGAATTCAATAATATAAATAACCCCTTAAGATTACAGTCCCCAAACCCCAGGCCATGGCCTGTTAGGAACCAGGCCACACAGCAGCAGGTGATCAGTGGAGGATCAAGTGAAGCTTTATCTGTATTTACAGCCGCTCCCCATTGCTTGCATC